CCCCCCCCCCCCCACAAACTACAACCACCAAATGAAAGTGGCCCAAGTCTGGATAATTGCAGAGAGAAAATTTTTAGCATTGTCGTGGGTTAATGTGGCAGACTGGTAAACCATAACAGCTGTAAGACTGAATCAGTGGTAAGTAAATGGCAAGTAGAACAGAAACACATAGATCGTCACCAGAAAAGCTTAACAAATTTGAAGTGGCTAGTACTATAGCCATGTAGCCGTACTTAGAGCTAGGTAGACCCTATTGACCGAAACCTGTCGAGTACACAGGTCTCATTAGATCTAAAGCAAGTAATTATTCAGGTACATGCATGTCAGAAAAGCACTTTTGGTTTTCTCTGAAATACAAATACTTTAAATGTATTGCAAACTAAAATTTTTATTTACAATTCAAATTCAGCCATCATTGATCTAAGTACGGCTAGACTGGCAGGCCAGCTGTACTTATTTGAGGCCCTATAGAAACCTGTTGTATACAGAAGGCTATTCAGGTTTAAAATAGATCTAGATCTAGATTAGATTCTAGATTCTAGTTGTCTCTAGAGTACTAGAGTAGAGTATACATGGAATCCCAAGAATTTCTTCACACATGTCATCCAAGTTGAATATTCCTCCCCATCATTCAAGTCTCAAGCCAAGCTAGATATAGGCTGCTAGGCATCCCAAATGCAAAAAGTAAAAACACTAGATCTAGCTGTCTCTGACCATTGATTAAAAGTTACAAATGTTGAGTTACCCATAAACTGTCGATCTGTTTCTGCAGGCTCGGGGGCAGCGCCTGAAGCTTTCCGCCTGTCCGCCATTTTGTTGACATTAACTACCTCACTCTGATTGGCTCACTGGATTTTCTGTATCTCCGAGATTGAAGAACGTTCGAATCCAGTGTCTTCTTTAAAACTTAATAATTATTTTTTGCTCTCGTATATCTTACTCGATAGATAGATAGATAGATAGATAGATAGATAGATAGATAGATAGATAGATAGATAGATAGATAGATGGATATATATATATATAGATATATATATATATATAGATATAGATAGATAGATAGATAGATAGATAGATAGATAGATAGATAGATAGATAGATAGATAGATAGATAGATAGATAGATAGACAGCAAATTCCTTGATAGACAGCAAACGTACATCAAGCTTCTCCCAGACATATAAATGATTACTTATACGAGATCTACTACTACTACTACTACTACTACTACTACTACTACTACTACTACTACTACTACTACTACTACTACTACTACTACTACTACTACTACTACTACTACTACTACTACTACTACTACTACTACTAACTACCACCACTGCTGTCTCTGATAATATTATTATTAATAATAATAATAATAATAATGCTTGTAATAACAATAATAAGGGAGAGCAGCGAGGCTTCAGACACTTTTTACGTTTTGCTCCACCGCTCACAAAAGTGTAAACCAAAGGAAAAGGTTTCACCGTTATGTTAAGCCATTTGGGCACCACCACTAGCGATATCAGCTTCAGGTATCATCATGTTGTACCGCTGGAGTATCATAGATGTATACCTGATACCTGATACCCGAGGTGACCTAAGATGTCTGAAGCCACCCCACTCTGTGGGAGACTGTGGACAAACGTGAGGGGAACTTCGGGCAAAGAGGGCTGCTGACTTCAGACAGTGTGTCTCGTGTGTAAGTTGCGTACATTGAAGTTCCATTGGTGGTCTAAAATCGATAAAAGTAGGCTTTGGCCGCCACCCGAGCAAAATTCAAAACTTGAAACCAACTGAAAATGTTTAATGCGCCCCGCGCGCTCACATGACCAAATGTTATTATTCAGTTGCGAGCGCCGTAAAACATTTACCCAAACCAAAACCAAAACCAAAAAACAAAACAGAACAACCAAAAACCCCAAAGAAAAGGGTTTCACCGTTATGTCCGGCCATTTGGGCATCACCACTAGTGATATCAGCTCCGTGCATCATCACACTGTACCGCCGGAGTATCATAGATACCTGATACCTGATACCTGATACCTGATACCTGATACCTGAGGTGACCTAAGATGTCCGAAACCACCCCACTCTGGGGGAGACATCGGACAAACGGGAGGGGAACTTCGGGCAAAGAGGAGGGGGGGGGGGGGACTTCAGACAGCGTGTCTCACGTATCAAATAACAATATTTATTAGTCTTGAGAGGAAAAACTTCCACCCAGCATATAATTTTTAAATTCATACCTTTTCTTTGAGTTTGTGAAAGTGCATTTCACACTCACTGGAAGTCACAGAAAACAGTGACCCAACCACAGGCATACCTTAAAACCCGTCCGCTTTTTTGCACCTGTGTACGTGTTTACTGGAAATCTCCCTTTATCATTGTCAAACAGGAAATCAGTGAAAATAGATTTTGCAGAGATGAAAATGAAAATTGTTCTTTTCCATGTTAGTTTCCGAGTGTGAGAACGTCTGTATTTGTGACGGCACGACATTCAAGAAGGTGTTCCCATTGCTGTGAAGGCTGGTTCGAATCGAGGTGTGTATGTTCATGAACATGAACTGTTATTTTCTTTCTTTCTTTCTTTCTTTCTTTCTTTCTTTCTTTCTTTCTTTCTTTCTTTCTTTCTTTCTTTCTTTCTTCTTCTTCTT